GATGATGGAAAGCAAATAGCCGAGTGCAGAGTTCGATACCTGTCATTCTTGGGTATTGGTCGTGACGTCAGGCATTGTGCCTTCATCATGCACACGGCCCAGGACCAATTTATTGCCTATGTGTTTTATTGTGAGCCATCCACTGGGGCTCTCTGCAAGACCATTGAGGCTGCATGCAAGGTGAGCAAATGAAAATGCACTATTTAGGTAGCTGTATCTGCTGCTTTCAGTGAGCTATTAGGTTATTGATGTGTACTTGTAAATATGAATTTGTATTTGAATTAAGGGATTAATATCCACTTCAGATAGTTTACACCATACACATCAATAGTCTGTATTATTAAAAATCAAGTAATTTTATTCATAGTTTTAAACAGTATAATTGATTGTTTCTGCTTAGTGTGGTATATATAGTACATTGCTACATGTTCAGTTTCATTCATATGATAGTCTCAATATTGTACATGTCTGCAATTGCTGGTTAAAGACATTCATTTTTTAACACTATATTGAATTAAAAGTACAAATTAGGTGTTCATCTCCAACTCCACTATTAACTCTTCCACAATTCTCCACAGCTGAGATACCAGAAGTGTCTGGATGCCCACCCAGGCGTGAGTCGCGGCAGGGGAGCAGGAACGCCCCGCAGCATCTCCTCCACCCTGCGCTCCATGTTCGGTTCCATCACTGGACGGAAGGCTCGGTCAGCAGAGTCTTGAGATGAGGACTCACCTCTGCAGGTAATCACTTCACTCATGTCGAGACTTCAGTGATGTAGAGTGACATGCCTTGTGAAGAGACATAGGACTTGGCATAAGATAACAGTTCATTTAACAGTGATACTTTCAAGTTATGTGTGTGTGTGTATTGTTGGAGAGGTATTTCTCATACTGCAAACCCTGCATAGTGCTGAGGACAGTATGTATGACAGTGGTTTCTAAAATATTTTTTTATTTTATTTAATCCTAATAAAAAGAGTGAGCAGCCTAAAGATAATCAAATTGGAATTGGAAGTTTTACAGACTTTTGTTAAGCACATATAATTTTGTTGTGCACTTAGTCATTCTGGTTTTGTACTTTACTTTATGTCTTCTATCAGTGTAGATTTTTAGGAATTGATTTTATGCACTGTGTTACCAATTGGTAGAGTTTGTTAGTTGTATGTATTGTTGCCACTTTTAAGAATGAATATCAAGTAGACTTGAATCTGAAGAAGATAATGTTACATGAATGGCATGAATCTAGATCTATATGTATATTGAGGTTGTACTTAAATGACATTAAAAAAAGATGACAAAAAACAAAAGATTTAGGGGCTAATGGAAGTCAAACTTTTCCCCCTCAGATGCGCCAGTTCTCATTGCAATTTTAATGTAAGTTTCATGCAGTGAAATGGAAGCATTTGAAAGCCATGCAAAAATTGACTGGTCAGCAGTACTGTTGTCATTTTGCAGCTGTGACATGAGCATCAAAGCTTGATTTTAACTTTATAGATTTGTGCTATGACAGATTCACTGATCTTGTTCCAAAGCAAAGAGAATTCTGCTATTTAGGAGTCCACTGTGTGCTTTCTTCACATTTTTAGCACATGGCAGTTTAAGGATGTATTGCTGTTAATTGTGAATGAAGACAGTTCTTTGTGAAAATACCTTACAGTGAAACATGTTAGAAATACCATATGTTATCATTAGTGGATTTAATAAGATCTAGATTTGTAATAGTTTTTATAGTTTCTGAGAATAATATGATATATAAATTTTTATTTCCTAATGGCTTGAAGTTAACTTGTTGACTTCAACCAGGATATTCCGCAGTACAGTACACCTTATTGTATTGCACTGATTTTAGATAAGAGCAACATGGAATATGATTGCTTTGTATTTTTCAAAAATTTTACGACTTGTACTTAACAATCCCTAACACTGAAAAGGTATTTCAAGTGTTATTCAGCCCATGGTGTTTCTGACCTGTAAAAGAGAAGCCTGTGTGATATCTTCCAAGATCATAGATTCTCTCATACATAAACATCAAGAATTCCATTCTCAGTTTGAAAAACACATCTTAGAAGTACCTGTGTATGGTGTATTTTGGATAATTTTGTATATGTGAAAATATAATTGAAATTGTTTTTATAACTGGTCAGACTGCCTATTTTAGAGGAAAACAAAAGCAAAAAAAAATTTCAAACAAGCTTGTAGAGTTTGATTTTTATGCTCAGCAGTTTTATTTGAGTTTCTTTTTACACTTGATGCTCTGCCTTTTTGGGCTACAAAGTGTATGTGCATCCTTTTAGTGCCTGTCTGTCAGGCCTTCTTTGCCAGGCATGCGAAGGAGGCAATTTGCACGATCTGTAAGTTCTAACTTTAGTGTAAAAAGTGGCTTTTCAATGAATATCACCTATTATACAGATCTAAAATTTAATGCGGAGATTAACTTGCAAAATTACAGGATGAGATAAGAACGTGGAAGCAAAAAGAAATTGGTTAAATGGAAGATTATATTATTTATTTGTCTGGAGAATTGGGTACAGTGAAAGCTCTTTATAATGCTTTGAAGGCAAAATCCTTTTCCAGATTTAGCACCATGAGGTGGTGTGAATATGGTGGTTGTTTTTTTTTTTGTTTTATTTTACTACTGATGAAAGAATTTAAAGATTTTTGGTGTAGTTTTCATTTAGGATTTACATCAATTGCCATATGGAATTACCAGATATTGTACAACTGTGTACATTCTTTGATCATGTGGGATGGAAGGACTATAAAGCTGTCCTGTTATAGATATTCCTGTATCTTATGTCAAGGAATGTTGTTAGGTCTTGTAGTATTATCAGTTCCTTTCATATAGTTACTGATAATCACCTGCTATTTCTATTTATAATTTGAATGCAGATTATGCTGTTGAAATTGGGTTCATAAAGAGGTTTTGCTGTATCTTTTTTAATCTGGAATAAAGTGCTAACACTTGTTTACGCATCACTTCACTCCTCTGGAGATGCAGTGATGTGGTTCATGAACTACATTAACAAGTTATAGTAGGTGATGTAGATGTACACTTATAATGGCAAGGCTGTGTATTACATGTACTGTATGTTATGTAGAATTGTATTGTACATGTTATTTCTAGCTGTTTTTGGTTGTGTAGAAATTTTAGCTGGACTTGATAATGGGTTCTGTGTGCGTGTGTGTTTAATGGTGAAGGAATTTCTGACTTTCCTCTTCCTAATGATATTGGGCGATATACAGATTTATTTTGAATAATCTTATTTTCTTATATGATTAGTACATTTGACTCAGGGTGTATCTCCTAATCACATGGGAAGATTCTTTCAACATTCTCTAATAAGGTTGGTTTGAATATTAACATATATACATATATGTGTGTAGTAAAAATATCACTACTGCTCTCATTACTAATAGTTAGTAACTGAAATCCTCATAACCTACTACTTACTCCTTCTTACTAACACCTACTAACCTGACAGGACTTCTGGGCCCAGTCTGCAGAGCGTGAGGTCATCCCGCACCGCCACCTGACCAGCCCTGGTGGAGGCTCCACTTCCCCGACTGTGTCAGGGTGTCCCTTTTCCTCACGACAGGTGCAGGCATTGGTCTCTCCCACGTGTGAATCTCCCCACTCCTTTACCACTCTCCATCGCTCTCCAACCACTCAAGCCCTCATGAAGGTTCCTCCCACACCAGCCACGCCCATGTCCCCCATGGATGCCCTCCGTCGCCTCCAACTCCCTCCAGATCTCTCTCCCCAGGAAGAGGATTTAGAGGGTGGAGTTGACCTGGAGGAGGGAGTAGGGGATGAGGAAGATGATGGCGTAGAGGAACTAGGAAGTACCTAAACTGATCAATGAAATATGCAGTTTTCTGCTTCAGAAGTGAAGTGCCATTCAGCCAACATGGTTAACTGCTACAGTCCTAATAGTTTAACAAAAACAGCTGTACTGATATGCTTGATGAGTTGGTATCAGAAGCAACAGCATGAATTCATTTCAGTAAATCATTTACAAAGTAAAATGATCTAGAGAGCAACCTAAATCATATATCCTAATATGCCCTCCATACAGCCATGCACAATATGGCATCTTTTATTTTTTGACTTCAGTAGAAATGGTAGACTCCCTTAAGCTGATAATTGCATCATATTTCCTGACTTCCTAAGTTCCTCTCTAGTCACCCGCCACTTTCCTACAGATTGACATATAATTTTGTCACAAGTGATATATTGTAGACAAGACTGGAAAGCTATATCATAGACATAGAAAATGGAGATGGTTTGGATTTTACTATAAGGGGATTCCTATTAATCCAAGTAATGTGGGCGTGTGGCTTGGTGTTTGGATCTGGTTTGGTGTACGCACGTTCAGCAGGGCCCAGATTGGCTGGTTGTGTGTAGACTACCTTGCATCACAAATCTTCTGCACGTACTCAGTATGGTTGAGTTTATAAACGTAAGAATATCTTAAGAACTCATTCTGGCCACTCTTTAGCAAGCTCTAAGTGTGCATAACACGAGGAATTCTTGGAATTCTTACTTTATGAAGACAGCCTCCGCTTCTCGGTACTCCCGTGGAAGAGATCATCAGCAGGGGATCAAGTTGTGCCTCTGCTTGCGTAGAAATTTTGCTAACCACTAACACATTGATGTACATTTGTGAATGTTTTATGTGGCCTAGTGCAACTGTATCTCTTTCTCTGCTTTATCATTATTGTCACAGGAACTTGCTATTTGTTGGATGTTGACTGATCTGTGTTTGGCCCATGTTGCTGAGCTTAATTATTTTTACCTTTTTACAGTGATTGATTATAGTGGTTATATATATATATATATATATATATATATATATATATATATATATATATATATATATATATATATATATATATATATATATATATATATATATATTAGATGATTCAACAGAAGTTCATGAATATTCTGTAATATGGTGAAAAGAGTTATGCTTAGAATTTAAACTAATCAAACATTGTCAAGTTAAGATCACAGTATAGCAACCAGAACAACTAGCTAAGTATGTTTGGTGAAACATAACTTTAACCTCACTGTCAGCTGTGTTGTATATATAAGCATACACACACACATATATATGTGTATATGTATATGTATATATATAATGTATGTATGTATGCATGTATGTATGTATGCATGTATGTACGTATGCATGTATGTATGTATGCATGTATGTATGTATGCATGTATGTATGTATGCATGTATGTATGTATGCATGTATGTATGTATGCATGTATGTATGTATGCATGTATGTATGTATGCATGTATGTATGTATGCATGTATGTATGTATGCATGTATGTATGTATGCATGTATGTATGTATGCATGTATGTATGTATGCATGTATGTATGTATGCATGTATGTATGTATGCATGTATGTATGTATGCATGTATGTATGTATGCATGTATGTATGTATGCATGTATGTATGTATGCATGTATGTATGTATGCATGTATGTATGTATGCATGTATGCATGTATGTATGTATGTATGCATGCATGTACGCATGTATGCATGTATGTATGTATGTATGTATGTATGTATGCATGTATGTATGCATGTATGTATGTATGTATGCATGTATATATGTATGCATGTATGTATGTATGCATGTATATGTATGTATGTATATATGTACAGACACACTTTCTTTTCTTTTATTTTATTTTATCTTGTGTGTGACAAGATTCTTGGTCATTCAATCTCTCAGCTTTGTTCAAAACAATTACTGTACCTCTTCAGCTGAACTCATATAGGCTACTTCTAATCTTGTTGACTGTGAGTGAATGTTTTCTTGTTACCGCATATAGCCAAGTAACTAGTCGTTAACATAATGTACTTATGAGTGCTTGACTGGAGAAACTTTACATACTTAGGGATATAAATCAGTGAGCACAAGGAGCTTAGTCAGCTTGCAAGATCTCCAGGTCTGCATGGATATAAAAGGGCAGCCATAAGTAATTGTAGGTCAGATTAGACATCATTGATTGGGAATAGGATTATTCCCACTCTTGTTTCTTTTGCTTGTAGCTCCCATCTGTAGCATATAATACCATATTTCCTTGTGCCCATTGTGAATAACACATACATAAAGCCTTAGGTGTAAAATAGAACCTATGTATTTGTAGTGTTCACTTTGGTCAGTCACCCGAGCCTCCTAAACTGACCCACAGAGGGCACATATTCCACCAAAGTCAGTTGATCATTGTTATTTTTATTTTATTTATATATTTTTCATAGGAAGCATCTCATCAGATCGTGAAAGCTACTTGAATTTCTGCCATCTTTCTTTTCTTAGTATTTTTTATTTAAATAATATAAATAACTAATATATATATATATATAGTATGACAATTTGCAATGCTAGAATTTTAAGGCATGAAAACATGGTGTGTTGAGATAGCTTCTTGACAATTTAATGTGAAAAAAAAAAACTTAGGTTGGGTCACTGTAGGAGAAGTCCACACAGCACAGTAACATACATGTAGCCACATCAGCAACTATGGATCTTAACAAATATGCCAGTAACTATTTATAGTTAAGTAAAGAATGTCTCTTTTAATTTAGTACTACTGTGTACTTGCTTCTTTAATAATTAGATCATTTTGAATTAGCATCACATTGTTAGTGGCATTTGTGTAAATTGTGAAATAACCATTTGTTTTTATTTCTTGTTTCCTTACATTTTGCAAAATTATTACCAGTATGTCATGGAGAACTGTATGTAGGAATTACAGGATGTTGAATACGAGATAAATATTTACGGCATGTTTCAAGTTCTGAATATAGTGTAGATCGAATCCATGGATGTCAAATGCATTCCAGGGACAAAGTTCCGGAGAAAGAATAGAACTTTCCTTATTGAGACCTATCGTTGCTGGTTATGTTACGATCATTGCCATAGTTACCAGCATGTGGTAAATTACCCATGATTTGTGTAAAAGTTTATGATTGCTGGTGTATACTGGAACAGTTGAAACTTGTCAGAAAAAAAAAAATCTGAATTTTGCAGAACCAGTTAGTGCTTTTTTATTTTAACTGACAGAACTGTATAAAGTAAGGTTAAATATACAGGTATACTGGTAGATTTTATGATTTTATCTCTTGAAAAAAGTAGAATGGTTCTTGCATTGGTTTAGATAATGCCATACATACATTCCATTGAGGTAGTATATTGATTTGAGGGAGGAATATTGTTAAAGCCAAGGCCATTTGTAGTGGCCATTCTAGATTGAATAACAGTAGATTGTAAGGCTCATAATTGTTTATTAATGTTCATGTCCAGTCATTGTGAGAGACCAAGGAACTGTCATTCCCAGTTTCATGGTTATACCTTAAGTAATTAAGATGACTGAAGCAACCATTTGCATTATTTCTGAAAATTTTTAGTTCAAATGCCTCTTGAGATGTAATACTTTATGGGTGAATTTTTGTGTATTTTTGTATTTCAGTTACACATGTATGTACAACTCCTCTGGCAAGTCATGTATTTAAGTGCCTGTCTATTTGCATTGCAGGCGCTTACACAAACTTTATCAATGTTGATACCCAGGTGTGAGCAAAATACATTATTACATAGAATAAACTGTATTTTCATTTATATATGAGCCCTCCACTGCACATTATCAAAAAAAAAAAAAAAAAAAAAAAAAAAAAAAAATCAGAAGGTTAAAAATTAATAAAGAGGTGATATTCATATTAATGAAAATAGTATTTTTCTTTTTGAGTGCCCCAAAATCACACTTGTCATGATCTTTCTTTCCATTATAAAAATCACAAAATGCACATAAAACATTTTGCCATTTCACTAAAAAACAAAGTACTATTATATAACCTCATTCTATTTTTTATTTTTTATTTATTTTTTTTTTTTGGGGGGGGGGACTTTAGCCTATCTTTCCTCATTTTCTTCTCGCATGAATATATACTGAAAGTTTAAATATTATGAAAATCAGACTCTTAACCATTTTATAATATTCAAAAGCTGGGGGAAATCCTTTTCAATTGAAATTATTTTTTGTACTATCTTTCCCTGATCCACTGACTGAGGCCCAAATGACATGAATATGCAACCAAGAAAAATTTGGGTGAAGACAAATGCAATGGGAATAACTCGCTATGAGTGCACAAAGCCCAATGGGCATTTAAGAAGTGGGTACTGCAAGATTTCCTCCGGTAAACAAAGGTGAACTGTCCCACCCATAAGCCAGGGCACTATTTCCATGCTCAGGATCTTATTCCTGCCCACTGAGACTGGGACGGAGGGTGTGTTACAGAATATTTTATACAAAAATATAAAAAAAATAACACCAATCAATAACAGTAAGCCTAAGCCAGGATTTGGGGACAGTGAGGCACTCAGATCCAATGGGTTTTTCTTTTAAATTTGAGTACTTTCCAGGTTCTTAAAATATCTCAAGAGTATTTATCCTACATTTCTGGAAAAGAGAAGCATATAATGTCAACAAAATATATTTAATTAACAACAATGGTACCTATTACCCAGGATGAGAATTGTATCCAAATAATTGTCATTAATCTTGAGGTTATAAATAAAAGTACTTTATATATATATATATATCACTTTCATAGAAAGAAAAATATACACATGCGCTGCAAATTCAAATTAATGAATTCAATCTCACAGCTCTTATGCAAGATCATTTTGTTTATATTTCACAAGTATTTTCTTACCTGCATATAGTAGAAGCTTGTAGGCACTCAGGCATTCATTATTATTCTTTTGTCAGTTTTTCCATTACCTTCTTATATTAGATTTATTTATGGTTCTTTACATTCAAATTCTTAGGTTATGAAAAAATATCTATTTCTTTCATTCCAGCTGTCACTTATAACTGAAAATTATCTGGAGAGCTGTGTGTGATGAGAAATATCATTTTTTAAAATTTGTTATTTTATATACTCATTTAAACTTTAAATGACATTCTAAGGGAGATGTAACTTCAGGTAGTATATCAAAAAACATTTACAGCACATGCTCTGTGAATTTCAATATTCACCTCTAATGGAGTTATCTTTATCCCTGTCCACAACAAAAAAAAGGCATTGGCAGAATATCACCAAAGAAAGTTTGTAAACACAGATGTAATAGTGTCCACCTGGCAGTGGCATCAGTCCACTGGGTAGGGCAAAGTGTAGTGTTTTCATTTCAGCTCCCACACAACCATATTAACATTTGTGGTCAGTCTATCTATAATTCTCACTTGTGTCCACAGACAGTTTGCTTGCGTGGATTTGCATGTCTGATGTGAAACAGACAATACAGAACCTGAGTGATAGCTAGTTATTTAATCTCTCTGTATAATTTCATAGATTCTTTTATGTTACACTTCATCTTACATTTCCAGTAATTTCAAGAGTCATTTGTCTCCCCTTTTCTTTTTTATTGTACACCAGATTAAAATAACATGTACACCCACATGTATCTGTAACGACGAGACAACATGAAAAGTAATACATTAAACAATAAAACACTTTTTTATTTAGATGTAAGAAAGGTAAAATATTTAAACTTGTCAATTAATAACAAAATGTTTAGCAACAAAAACATCAGTAAAAGTTTATATTCGCAAAGAACCAAGACCTGCGGACTGGAGCTGACAAAATCCACGTATTTATGAAGAACTGCATCATTCCAGCTTTCCTGCTGTCAATAATAAGAAACAAGAAACAGCTGCACAGTTATCCTCACTCTGATCTACAACAACACATTACCTTAAAATCTTTATCAGTACAACCAGTTACAATAAAATTTGCTAGCCAA